CGCCGGTAGAAACGGGGACATCTTCATCTCCTTCCTCGCGCCCGAGCAAGCCTTTGTCAATCCACGAGACGAGAAATGGAGAGAGAGAGAGAGAGAGAGAGAGAGAGAGAGAGAGAGAGAGAGAGAGAGAGAGAGAGAGAGAGAGAGAGAGCAAAGGCACAAAGTGTGCGGGGGGAGGGTGTCACCCACGCCTACTATGTGGTTCCGAGGTCACGGGCGGTGTGAGGGAGGCTGGGGGAGAGGCAGAAGGATGAGAGCAGAGAGAGAGAGAGAGAGAGAGAGAGAGAGAGAGAGAGAGAGAGAAGGAGAGAGCCAAGGCACTCTGTCCGCACCGACGTTGACGGAATTGTCATCGTTTTTATTCATTTGCGTCGCGATGAGGGAGCGGGGGAGCGGCGCTGCGGCGGCCAGAGCAGCCCGCCCTGGGACGCGGGGTGGTTGCACTCCCGCGTCTGCACGGACTGCACGGTGGGGCGGGGCGGGATGGGGCGTGGGGGGCGGTGCAGGACGGGGCGGGGCCCGCTGGGGAGCACAGAAGGGAGGGAGGCCACTTTAATGGGGCGGCGTCTGCGGGCCGCGGTGACGCCGACCCCCTGGTGACGAGCGACGACGGTCGGAACAAAACTTTCCCTACGCTCGCTACACAGCGCCAGCGCAGCACCCCGCCATGGCCGCCGCGGTCTAGGCAGGAGACGCTGTGGAGCTGCTGGGTGGAAGGGCGTGGCGGGGCGTGGCGGGGCGTGGCGGGGCGTGGCGGGGATGGCGTGGCAGGGCGTGGCAGGGCGTGGAGGGGCGTGGAGGGGCGTGGAGGGGCGTGGAGGAGCGTGGAGGAGCGTGGCAGGGCGTGGGGTGGCAGGGCGCTGCGGTACGTAGCGAGCTTGCTGATGTGTTCCACAGCTTCGCCCGCCGCCGCACTGGCCAAAGCGGCATAAAAACAGCCCCTCGCCTCGCCGACAGCAGCAGCTGTATTCGCCGCTCCCGCCGCCGCCCCTCGCCTCTCACTTTTATCACTATTTTCTCCCGTTTTACTTTGGCTGCGCGGTGGTAGTTTCAGCAGTAGGAGGAAAAGAG